TGGTTATACAATTCCATGATAATCATCATTTTGATCGTTTTATTAAAAATTTAATACAATGAGAAGCTTGTCAACAGCAAATTGTATCCATTTTAACACCATGACGTATTCAGATCACTTTAGGCCGTTAACGTGTTTTTACAACATATAGACGAGTATGAGTTAGCAGAAATTATTTTTATAGACTTGTGTATTGCACCAGCTTTGTTTATCATCTATTTGTAGAGGAGCAATTCGTGATCCATGAAATTGAAGCAGTTTTTCCTAGCATACAGAACTTGCATAAGTATATCTTGATTATGGATGATACAAAACAGAAACAAATTGCATGATCCATTAATTCGATATTCACGTTATTAGTCTACTTGTATTTTTATTATGATTTTATTCTTAAAAGACTTGTGTAGTTTGTTCGTATAGTTTTCTTGTACACGAAAGCAGAGTGATTTCTAAATAATACTTTAGCACACGCATTATACATGTACAGAATGTGAGTGGTTATTCAAAGTGTAGCTTATTGCCCTATGAGATTGTTATGACTTACCATCGACTAGCACCTGCTCGTGACAATTACGCATTGCTGCAAAGGTAACGAACTCATTGGCCGTAATAGCTGACATATCGTTTGCACGAGGCTATCTGATAAGTACGAGGATGCGTAACCTCTGAGTATAAATCCGATTGCCGATTGTTTTGATGTTCTTTCTCTTTTGTATCAGGCAAAAATAAAAACATATTCCCTTTCATAGCAATATGAAACCCCAGAATGACAGTTGATGCATCTCTTACCTCCAACAGCTGAGGTGGTTTTGACCCTGGTGTTGATCAAAGTTTGTAACACCTAAGGTTAGCCAGAATCATCTTTCCCGTTCCAGTGCCATATGATCTAATTTGTTGTAGTTCGCCGTAAAAAAAGCAAAAGGAAAAACAATGTAGGAAATATGAAACTACTTTAATATCAAAAAGGAAATTAACATATTACAGATGATTTACTTACATGAAATATTGGAAATATTGGAGAAAGGTGATACTATTTATAGTTTATACGGCATGCAAGTGCTAAAAAAGAGGTCAAAAGTTGACATTGATTTGACACACAAGTCACCGTGCTTATCTTTATTTTCATGGTAATATATTGTCTTTGATTTCACACACATAAAGGATAGGACAGCTCGTATTTGCAACAATAACGCAAAATAAAACCTAACAGAATATCACAATACAGAGCACGCCATCTAAATGGGAGTTCCATTATTCGTATCATGAATACGCATGATAAAAAAGCAAAATAGATTGTAAAGATAATAATGGATTCTTTCAATAATATTGCGATGTTTAGCATGATGTTCCATGGGCATGTAGTGAAAGCTTTAAGCAAGGTATCAGTCTATCATTCAGTTTAGTTGTATACAAATGTGATTTGAAATATGTTATAATAAATTGTTATACTTTCTACGTTTGAAGATAGCCGTCAACCTTATTTAAGCCGTATTTAATTTATGGGCGGGTAACAACCTTTTGTTCAGAAATTCACGTTATCAAACTTAACCCACTATGATGCTGCAAACAAAATAATTCTTGTATCAGTGAGTGCATAACTCCTTGCACGAGTCCCACTTAAATAATCTAAGCGATATAGGGTTTATAAATAATTACGTAAAATATCAATAGTAAATGCAACAAATTACAAATAAGCAGGGATGTAACAGTTTTGTATTTTAGAATGATATATTCTCCATGTGTTGTGCTGCCAAGTTTACTATTGTACATCAATGTATCTTTGTCATAACTTTTGAATCAATATCTCATCATAACAACAATTGTCATCCGAATTGTCAGGAGAGAATAACTGAAAATGTACATAACGATGTATGTAAAAAATCAACAGAAAATATATCTGTTTATTAGTGATATACATACAGTTTTTTCAAAAAGCATAATTTCAATAAAATGAACTCTAATGAATAAAAATATGATTTGGTAAACTATAAATCTAATTTAACTAAGTGATAAAATGTTCCGATCATTAATTATAGTCATTATAACAGGTTTGCCTGATATTGCGGAAGTAAGGTTAATATTATCGGAAAATAATGTCGGATATTTTAAATATATGCATATCGTGTAAATTAAATATTTTGGCTAAAACAATTCCAATGTTAAAAAGCTTAAAAAAGTCAATGTTACCGATGATTATGTTGCTGCGGCGGGGCTTGTGGCGGCTGTGACTGTTGCTTAGGGTATAGCTATCAATTTTGTGCGCGTTTTTACACTATAATGCACGGTTTATCATTCTAATGATTTGTATTTAGCTATCCAGGCCTACGCCTTCCTTTTAAATTATTGCGCATTTCAATTCGATCAATGCATTATTCAACAACAACTCACTCAAAATTAATATCTATTTCTTAGGTTAATTCCGTTTTTCCATTGATATTCCTACATCATAATACTTTATCCCAAAGGAAAGATCTTAGCGTGCATTCTTCAAACATGATACATTAGATATTAATTACTGACGTTAATTATTGGTGGAAGATTTACAAGTTTTAAAAAAATTTGTCAAAAGCGTTTGACACAAACTCAATAAAATAAGATGATCTTGTTCGCTCCGTTAGTCTCCGCTAGTGAAGAGTAGTGGAGCGACAGTTAGGATATGATTTTAATGAGATTGCGTTTGACACATCATGTTATCACGCATAATTCTCATCAATTAGAAACATTAGGCTGAATATGACTTAGCCGCTCAATTACTCGTGTGCATTCTAAAGCAGCAGAGGTCTAATTCAGATTTTAGTTTTGATTTGTATAGTCAAGACAAACAAAAATTATCAACCCAGTTGATTGAAGAGTTTAGCTTTTTCGTAAACCGTGAATTTTGAACGCATATTACGCATGATCATTTTGATATTTGCTATTGAGTACAGCTATGGAAACTCTAGTTTAACATTTCTTGATTATATTTCGCAATAAACGGCAGGCAGAGCAACAACTTTGCGGATTAACCGATACATGGCTTTAAAAAGCATTATGTACATGTTCAATATGTTATTACAATTTGCACCAAGTAAATGATGATAATAAATCATTTACCTGATATATCAACTGTAGTTGAATGTCTCCATTCCAAGAGAAAGGTGTGTTACCAGTTCGAAGTCCAGGAGAGAAGAGAGAGAGTTCAGCTCACAAAAAAGGCATGGAAAAAAGCATGCAAAATAAAACGGTGTCTCATAAAAAGTACTGACCGTGAGAATCACCTTTAGGTTAAGGCTGAACGCCACTGTAACACTCGTTCCCTTCTTTGAAAAAAAGGACTGAGCATGCTCTCATTTACAATTAACCAGACAATTAACAAATAGAAATGTTTAGCATTGTCATTATAACATTAACCTTATATAAAAAAATTATGAAAACGTTTAATAGAAATAACAAGTACAAAGAAGAACTGGAAATTGCATGTGCAAAAAATGTACTGAAAACCTCTTGAAATTTTGAATTTACAAAAAGTAACCCGGCAAACCATTATGCCATTAACAAAAAACCTCAATGATGACAACAATTCTTCAACAATTTAAACATTATTCTTCAAAACTAAGTTACTTATATGTACATGTCCCTTAAAAAATTAATTATTCATTTAACATAAAATGAAGAAAGGAATACTAATAATATTAACAAGAATAAGTATGAAACTTTTACAGGATTATCGAAATAAAAAGAACAATAAACTTTATTCTTTACAGATCTTCAAAATGAAAAAAATACTGTATGAATTTTATCTTAACCATACAAAATAATAACTAAGTGAAAATTTTCACTTTTGACAATCCCTTGTTAAATTGTAGAAAAACAACAGACATTATTTATTTAAATGTTAGTTAATACACTTTTAATAGCTTAAGCCTGACAGAGTGCCGGATTGATACATCTAGATAAAGGGGCAAAATATATCACAAATCCAACACCATTAGACACTTTAGGTCTTGACGGGTTGTACTACTAGAAGAAAAATACAAAGGGAAGGAAAGGTAAACACAAACCAAACCAAACAAAAATGAAATAATTAACTGGGTATTGAATACAATAATACAAGATGCTTGTTCAAACAATGCCAAGTGAAAATACCATTACAAAGCAAGTATATATCAAAGGGTTAGTAACAATTATATGACATGATAACCTAAAATAAAACTACAGACTGAACTTTGACTGAAAAAGTTTGACAGTTCTAATTATAAAATATTTACTGATGAAATTAACACAAGTCATGTAGTTTACAAGTATTTATAGACTGAAATATACATCAAAATGAAATGCTCATTGTTTACATTCTAAAATGAAGTGATAGCTCATTGTTTACATTCTATTTTCTTTCTTTTTTTTTCTTTTTTTTTACGGTACTTAATTTTTTCTCATACATATATATTTCTCTTTTTAAAATTGTACATTATTTGTACCCATTTTTTTACATTGAAATTTTACATTTAAATTGGAATTTTCAGTTTAAGCATTGTTTGAACACTAGGGTTACTAGGATAACTAAACTACAGAGATACACGCAATTACTTACTACATGCTGATGACTCTGTAAAATAATATAAAGATTGGTTAACAGTTTCATACCAAATACAGTAAAATAGAATGGAAATTCCAAAACGTGTCCACCAAGAGTGTGCAAACTGGGGTGAACAAATAAAGGAATTGTAAAAATAACAACTGTATATATACATATATATATAGGGTGTAGCCAAAATTTACTATGAAGATCATATATAACTAATACAAGATATATGCAGGGTGTGATCAAATTTAGATTATTATATTTTGTAACCTGATGATAGAAAGTCTGTAATATTCACGGAGACGGGTGAATATAATTCTAAGAAGGTAAGCTGAAGAATTTGGAAGCATTTTTGTTACATTTAGATATAAATTCTTTCAAAGGGATTTTCAGAAGTTGTGATGCTTTTTTAGCAACCTGGTAAACTTCTGTAGGGTCTTTAGCCAAATAGGGAGCATCTGTCAGCATCTGTTTCCAAAAGTAATCTTTTAGCATCAGCGTGTTGAACTAAAGCTTCACGCGTATTCCGGTCTTGTAGGGAGCGCATGGACAGACTAAACATGCAATTAGGAAGGACAGTACTCCATTGTACAAGTTCCTCAGAACTGCCAATGAAACAATATCGCTGAACAGGCATATGAGTTAAGTTTAACTCCCTAAACAGCAACAGGGTTTGCTTGGCTGCTAGCCCATTACCGGAGTCCCTGCAGTGAATTACAATGGGTTTACGCATTCTATCGGCCATGGGAAGACACATGCGGAGGAACTGGCGCTGAGCCTCAAGCTTATCCCTCTTGCAAACCGTGCGATCATGGGATTGTCGACATCGGCAAGCAGTGGTAAAGTCGAGGCCCACCTCACCTATTCCTACCACCCTGGGGGTATCATTCACCAAAGCCTCCAGTTTACGAAACGATCCATTGTAAGTTCCTATAAAAAGCATGTGAGGATGGACACCAACAGTTACAGAAACTCTGCTGTCCATCTCCAAGTGCTTTTTCATAGTCCCCCTCTTAAGTGGAAAAACATAATTGGCTATAACATGCCGCAACTTAACCGGGGGATCCGTCAAAATTTCTAGTGAGCTTAGTGGGTGGTCATATTTCCCAAAAAGCTCATCAAGGTGAGTATGGCAATCAGTGATTACCACATCCAGCCTTGGATGCCCTTTCGGAGTTGCAGAGCCATCCGGGAGACGGTAGTCATACAGTTAAATAAGTTTTTCCCTGCATGTTGTATCCGGACAGCTGATTAAAGTCTTCAATGCGGTATAGTAGAGGCATTGACTAATTCTGTCTTAACCTGGTAATCGGATATACTCCAAAGAGGCTCTAACCTGCTCGTTGGTCATAACCTCTAAAGAAGACTAATTTATCCTCAGAGATACTGGGGTCTCTGGAGTGCAACCCTTGTTCCACTACATAGGAAAGGAGATCACTCGTACTGCGCATGCCAAGGTTACTTGCAATAAACAAAAGAAAACCATTGACAAGATAAAACCAAATGGACATGTTTGTCCCTGGAGTGAATCTCCCATGCCCTGAGTGAAACCTGGTAAATTGCACCTCAGAGATTTCAGATTTTTGGCAATCTCTGCAAGCATATGCAGGACTCATGTATGGTACATGTGTCAACAAAAAATGTTTCTTCAGCCGGTTTGTATTTGCTCCACATAAATCACAGCTGTTTTTCATAAAACGGCGCTTTTTGGCTTTTTGGTCCATACTAAAATTTAGAAAAATTAAAAGAATTTTTTAAGAATGGAAATAATTTGAATGAAATATTAAAACATAGTGCATCTAGTGATCTTCACAACTAAAGCACACCGTCTAGGCTGATCAGACCAAAAGATACACTATTTTGAAATAAAAATGAATAATTTTATGCATCTGAGGATCTTCACTACAAAAGCACACTGTCTGGGCAGATCCAACCCAAAGATGCATTATACATATAGCACAAATACAAACATCAAATTCAATACAGGAAGTCTGTGACTGGAGCACACAGTCTTGGCCACAGATATCTGAGTGAAATTTCAACGTCACTAAACGAACAATAACATGAAATTATATATTGCAATGACACAATGACTAAAGCACACAGTCTGGGCCAATGTGCCACAACAATACATAGGAACCTTGAACATAATGAGACCAATTAACTAAAGCACACAGTCTGGGCTAATTAATCTCATTGCTGTCCATACCTCAAGTGGAACTTATGAGACAGATCAACTGAAGCACACAGTCTGGGCTGATCTATCTCACAATCTCCAACCGAAATACATGCATAAATAATATATATAAACCAATCAATCCAAATATCTGGAAGGAAGTTTTACATTCCTACCAGAACGAGATATTCTAGTATGGCCAGGGAAAGAATCAATTCCAGGATCCGAATCGGTCGTGCCAGGGTCGCTATCATTTACGTCCAGATGTAGTTGCGTCTGTTCTTCAGGTAACATATATGGCAAAGTAGCATCAGGATCAAATATTTCTTCATCATAGAGATCATTTAAATTTTGAGAAAATGAAAGGTCCAGCTCGGGATCCTGATCTACCAAAATATTTTGACCTAAGAGATAATGTCTCTTGCGTTTTAACCAGGGTGGCAGATCAGAATCTCTACATGGCTTAAGTCTGTCGTGATGGACGATTTGTGATGTTTTCCTGTTAACGATGGTATAAGTTGGGTTGGTTACCTTTGTAATTAAGTATGGCCCTTTCCATGGGGGACGAAGTTTAGTACTTACCCCAACTTTAGTTGACGAATCCCTGAGATAAACTACATCACCCACACCATAAGGGTGCTGCAGAACTCTCAGGTCATAATTTCTTTTTTGACGTAATTGACTTTGACCTATATTTTTTCTGGCAACTTCATGAGTATGTGACAAAGTTTTAACCAGATCTTTTAACCATTGATTATGATCAACCTGTAGGGTGTCACATTGGCCTAACAAAATATCAATGGGCTGGAAAGTTTCCCTGCCAAGCATGAGCATGTTAGCACTAAATCCTGTGCTTGCATTTTCCATAGAATGCAGTGCCATGCTCATAGTTGGAAGATATTCATCCCAGTCATTGAGTCCCCTGGAAATATAGCTTCTAATCATAGCTAAAATAGTTCTATTAAAAATTTCACATTGACCGTTATTTGAGGGTCTGTAAGGTGTTGTTCGCGTTTTCCTACTTGAATAATGTTGAATCACCCAGGATATGTTGCCTGCCTTTTAAATTTGTCTTTTGACGTCTTATCTGTGATACGCAGGCTTCATAACCTCTGAACCCCTTTCAAATTTCTATTTTATTTAGTTCCGCCCATTGTTTTCTCGTTTAGGGCACACGCTTTTTATTACTTGGGGACCATACGCCGCTTTTCATGGAATGGCATGGAAGTGTCACATTGAAGGTTCCATGATAACCGCCGTGTGAACACATCTCGGATGTTTCTAAATTCAAAATTTTACTATTTCACGTTTAAATGTTGAATTCTGCTTAAGCCGGTGCTAGGGGGCGTGGACGGTAACTTGCACTTTCCAGTACCGTCCATGAACAGGCTCAATCAAACCGAGCCTGCAACATTTTCAATTTTGCCGTGTTGGGCTTTCTTTAGGGATTCTGTATTTATCTATGTTGGTGATTTCGAAAACATCACAAAAAGCCTTAAATAAGTCTGATTGAAAATTTTTACCTTGATCTGTATGAATTTCTAACGGGCAACCGAAAGTACTTACAAAACGGGTCATAAATGCCCTAACCGTCATTTTAGCATTTTGCTCAGGTAATGCAGCGAGTTTCACCCACTTAGTAAACTGATCTACCATAACCAAGATGGAACGATTACCTGTGCGGCTTTTATGGAAAGGTCCTAAAATATCTAGATGGACCCTTTCCATTGGGAAACCAGCATGGTAAAGACCAAGGGGTGCTCTAGGAGTAGTATTACTCTTTTTGTTCTGGTTGCAGGTGTGACAACCATTTACATGGATTTTGGTATCCTTAGACATTGAATACCAGTAAAACCTTTTCCTAAGTCTTTCTAAAGTGTTATCAAAACCTAAATGACCTGAATTTTTATCATAATA